ATCAATGGAACTTAAAATTTTTCCTTTTGAAGGTTAGAAACACGAGCCACGATGTACCTCTGTTTTCCTCCTCTGCTCCGGCTTCTTTTGACTTCTTCAACTTTTTTTGTCGGAGTTGAGCAAGTCTTGCTTCTAACATAGCCTTTCGTTTTTCCTTTATTTTTTTCTCATTTTGTTCTCTGATCTGTTGTCTGAACAGAATAGAAACTGGAAAATTAGGTACTTTAAGCCAAATTCACAATATTTCTGTTTAAAAGGATGAAATAATTTTATTTTAAAAACAGACTAATTAGTTGATTTTCATGTCACTCTAAGAAGCTATCTTTGGTATCTTCAAAATGAAGACCCTTGAAGTACTTTTACACAAGCCATCTGGTATTTTTTAAAGTTTAGTAAGAGTTCTCAGAGCATCCTAGAATGCTTAACATTCGAGAAAACTAACCAATTCTGTTCTACCCTTTAATCCCTTAAACAACTTGTATTTTCTTACCCAGGCCACTCCAAAAGTACCATATTTGAAACCAAATTTAAAACATGAAACTTACCTCTGAGCAGATATAATCTTTTTTTCTTGTTGTGAGGAAGATCAGCCCTGAGCTAATATCCATGCCAATCCTCTTTTTTTTTTTTTTTTTTTTGCTGAGGAAGACCGGCTCTGAGCCAACATCCATTGCCAATCCTCCTCCCTCCCCCCCCCCCCCAAAGCCCCAGTAGATAGCCACATGTCACAGCCGCACATCCTTCTAGCTGCTGCATGTGGGACGCAGCCCCAGCATGGCCCAACAAGCGGTGTGCTGGGGCGCCCCCAGGATCCAAACCCAGGCTGCCAGCAGCGGAGCGCACGCACCCAACCGCCAAGCCACGGGGCCGGCCCTGAGCAGATATAATCTTAAAGTCTGAAACAGCAAAACAGCATGGCAATTACCTTTATGAAACCTATAATAGTATTCTGATACTGATAAATAATAGTGATAAAACTGTCACTATTTGCAGGTGACATATTATATAATATATAGAAAACCCTAAAGACTCTACCAAAAAATTGTTAGAATAAACGAATTCAGTAAAGTTGCACGATACAAAAATCAATACACAAAAATCTGTTGCATTTCTATACATTAATAACAAACTATCAAAAAGAGAAATTCAGAAAACAATCCCATTTATAATTGCATCAAAAAGAATAAAATACCTAGGAATAAATTTAACCAAGGAAAGACCTGTACACTGAAAACTGTAAGACACTGATAAAGAAAGTGAAGAAGACACAAATAAATGGAAACATATTCCACGCAGATGGACTGGAAATATTAATACTGTTAAAATGTCCAAAGGTTCAGTGCAATCCCTATCAAAATTCTGATGGCTTTTACAGAAATAGAATAATCCTAAAATTTGTATGGAGTCACAAAAGACCCCAAACAGACATCACAGTCTTGGGAAAGAACAAAGCTGAAGGTATCACGTTGCCAATTTCAAACTACATAACAAAGCTATAGTAATCAAAACAGTAGAGTATTGGCATAAAAACATACACATAGATCAGTGGAACACAAAAGACAGCCCAGAAATAAACCCACACATCTATGGACAGCTAATTTTCGACAAAGGAGCGAAGAACATACAATGGGGAAAAGAAAGTCTCTTCAACAAATGGTGTTGGGAAAACTGGACAGCCATATGCAAAAGCATGAAACTGGATCACTGTCTCACGCCATACACAAAAATTAACTCAAAATGGATTCCAGACTTGAATATAAGACCTGAAACCATAAAACACCTACAAGAAAACATAGGCAGTAAGCTCCTTGACATGGGTCTTGATGATGATTTTTTGGATTTGACACCAAAAGCAAAGGCAACAAAAAGCAAAAATAAACGAGACTACATCAAACTAAAAAGCTTCTGCACAGCAAAGGGAAACATCAACAAAATGAAAAGGCAACCTACTGAATGGGAGAAAATATTTGCAAATCATATATATCCGATAAGGGGTTAATATCCAAAATATATAAAGACACTCATACACCTCAAAGCAAAAAAAGAACCACAATCTGATTAAAAAATGGGCAGAGGATCTGAACAGACATTTTTCCAAAGAAGGTATACAGATGGCCAACAGGTATATGAAAAGGCACTCGACATCACTGACATCAGGGAAATGCAAATCAAAACCACAATGAGATATCACCTCACACCTGTCAGAATGGCTCTTAGCCAAAAGACAAGACATAACAAGCGTTGGTGAGGATGTGGAGAAAAGAGAACCCTTGTGCACTGTTGGTGGGAATGTAAAATGGTGCAGCCACTACGGAAAATACTACGAAAAAAATGATCCAGCAATTCCACTTCTGGGTATTTATCTGAAGGAAACGAAGACACTAACTCGAAAAGATATCCGCACCCCCAGGTTCACTGCAGCGTTATTTACAACAGGCAAGACGTGGAAACAATCTAAGTGTCCATCGACAGATGAATGAAGAAAATGTGGTATATGTATAAAACGGAGTATTATTCAGCTATAAAAACAGAATGAAATCTTGCTGTTTGTGACAACATGGATGGACCTTGAGGGCATCACACTAAGTGAAATAAGTCAGACACAGAAAGGCAAATACCGTACCGTCTCACTCATATGTGGAATATAAAAAACAAAACCAAAAATGAGCTCATGCAGAGCACAGATTGGTGGTTGCCACAGGTGGGAGTGAGGGTAGGCAAAATGAGTGAAGGGACTCAAAAGGTACAAACTTCCAGTTATAGAACAAATAAGTCATGGGCGTGTTATGTATAGCATGGTGACTGCAGTTAATAATACTGTATTGCACACTGGAAGTTGCTATGAGAGAGATCTTAAAACTTCTCATGACAAGAAAAAAATTTTATAACTATGTACAGTGACAAATGTTAACTTGACTTATGGTGATCATTCTGCAATATCCACAAATATTGAAACATTATGCTATACACCTGAAACTAACAATGTTATACGTCAACTATACCTCAATAAAAAATAATAAAATATCTGGTTTATAGTTATAACAGTATTTATTAAATATCAGAAATATCAATCTTTAATAAAATTGAAAGTTTATTTTGATGTACTTTTGTCCATCACTGCTCTGAATACTATTAAATAAATTTTTCAAAAGAAAAAAGCATTCTGAATATCAATTTAAATTTCTAGTTAATTTACTGGATTTTTTGCATCATGGTCCAACAAGAAACAAACCGCTCAAATCCTTCTTAACATCAACCCTGAACTGAATTTGTACCTGTTCGCGTAGCATCTCTAAAGTTTTCATTTGCTTGTTTCTCAACTCTTTATCTTGGGCAAAGGCAAAATATCCAACACCAAGTTGCCGGGCCTCTGAAATAAGTCAAAATTATCCAAAAGATTAGATTTCCCTGACCAGTCAATAGACTCAGACTAAATTTCCTACCAGAGCAAAAGAAACGCAGTGATATTTGGCGCAAGTTAAAAAAAGAAAACAGCTAAGCCAAAAGAAGTTAGAAGATGTTTACGTCCTGTTGGCCAGGTGATAACATTACGAAGATTCATTAATTTTGCAGCCATAGGCTGTCTCCATTCTCTTGGGGAACAACCTCTTGGATTAACTGACTCTCTGTTAGGAAGATATTCCCAATGTGAGTATTTTTCAGGCTATGAAGTGAACAAGGGATATTTTCCAAAGCAGAATCTTTGATTTCTACGTAAGAGCTGCTGCTTCACGAATACCCCCTTTATGCTTGCCATCAGTTCAAGATAAAACAACGATTCAAATGCTGCATGATGATGCTACCGTTTTCACGAATGTCTTCATAATGTACGGGCCCCACTGGCCTTTTCAGGGCCTCCCTTTCTTCTTCCTCCCACTGCTGGCGCTGAAGTTCTTTTCTCATATCTTCAGAGAGTAAGGTGTTTTCATTAGCAGGACTAACAAAACTAGGAGGAGAAGAGAGCAAAAGCTATCTTTAGATTAGAGCTGTGACAGCAATGCTTCTGTTCAGGCAGCTGGATCATGGATAAGTAACTCCAGCTGATAAAGACAGCTTCCTTACAGAGGTTTCTGGCCCACATTGCCACCGGGAAATTGCAAAAACTATTCTCACCGTTCTTGAATCAAGCAGCCCACCTGTTATATTAGCATAATGGAACCTTGCCTCGGCACTCCAGACAAATCCCTTTCCTTCCCACCCTGATCCTGGGCTGAATAGGGCGAGACAGCCCCGGTGGGGAGAAGGAACCCTGGGCCTCCTTTGGATGGTCTCCCACACAGGGCTGAGGGAGCTGCATGACGCTGCACCCCGGGCAGCGCCTCGTGTCCTGTCAGACGGCTCAGGGCTTCTGCACTTCCCTCCTCGTGCCAAGCTCGGGCCTACCTGAACCTGGAGGACTCGGACAAGGTGGACCCTCTCCCAACACTTTCCACACAAAAGCCGCCCTTGGTGAGGGGAATTTTATTCCCTGGGATGTTTTAGCAAGTCATCTCTTAGGTGTGTCTTAGGTCCCACAGAAAAAAATCTAGCTATAAGGCCCTTACTTCAAAATCCAAAGATACACAAAGAAAAAGTTAATAAGCTAACCACCTCCCTGCCCCCACTTGCTGTGCAAGTGTATATTCCTTTTTTTTTTTGGTGAGGAAGATTAGCCCTGAGCTAATATCAGTTACCAATCTTCCTCTTTTTGCTGAGAAAAATCGGCCCTGAGCTAGTATCTGTGCCCATCTTCCTCTTTTTATATGTGCAACAATGCCACAGCATGGCTTGACGAGCCTTGTGTAGGTCTGCGCCCAGGATCCGAACCTGCACACCCTGGGCCACTCAAGTGGAGCGTGCGAACTTAACCACTACACCACCAAGGCGGCCCCTAAGTGTACATTCTTAAACACCTTTCTCCACAGAGGTTTGTTGGCTGATTTGGTTTGGGCTCATTCTATGTCTGTTACTCTGTAATTAGACCTCCTTCCAAGTAAACGGATATAGCTCTAACTCTGTCCTTTTAGTAGCTACACAATACGGATGATCAACCATTCAGGTTGTTCACCGAGTGTACATTATGTGTGTATGTGTATGCCAACCATGAAAAAGTGCTTCAGCAAATATTCTTACACATTAAAAAAAAGATCTCCTTACTGGAGCTCCAAAGGTAATTAACTAGAAACTGCCTCGCCCACAAAACAATCCCTAGGTCTACATTTCAGACCTGGGCAAAGGTTCACCTATCACACACTTACAGCCTCCCCTGAAGATTTTCATCCATCTCCAGCAGATCTGGCAAATCCTTTTTCATACAGCGCCGGGATCGCCCTAAAGAATCCACATAATCCACCCTGAAATAAAAGTAAAAAGACATGAAAAAGGCTTTGTGCACGACATATGGTTCCCTAGGTGAGGGAGTCGGAGCACAGCAAAAAATTAACATAGGCCTCTCTACCGGCAAAGCCCTCAACCTGAGACGACTACCACTGAAAAGAACAGCTTTTTAAAGTTAAAAGTTGACACAATAAGCTCATCGTGCCCTTTATTAAATCTTAGTTTTAGAAACTGTAGACAATGATTGATCATGTACGTCTCTGATTTCAAAGATAAATGCCCCATACAGACCCCATTGCTGCAACAACTCAGAACTAACTTTAACCTGGTTTAGACAAATCCAAACATTTTATCAGCATCGTAATAACTCTGCTCGTACCAGATTCTCAACTTGCTCATTTCCTCACAGTCCTCCTAAATCTGATTTTATTTCTTCCAGTCGGTAAATTCTTCCCAATGAATTAGAAATTTCTTAATAAGTCACGGTATTCTGGGGACTCTTAATTAGGAGGAAGCCAAGCAACACACATTTGGTATACAAAAGCACGTCAACAGCGGCCAGGCTGTAATCCTTTACCCTTTGTTCTCCTTTCCTCCTCTGCCCAAACTAGACAGCAGTTAGAGACAGAGGAGCCAGGCAGACGGCAAAGCAAAATGAAATACACGGACTTCCCACAACGAGAAATACGGGCAGATCGTCAGGGAGAACATTTTATTTCCATTATGATACAACAGATGTTTTACTTTTTAAATTATGGGCGGGGAATTTCCCACAGCCTTTAGCAGGTTGCTAGACACACAGTAAGGGGCCAGAACTCCTGCTGGACTAACGCAAGGCCAGATTCCCACGTATGTGGCTTTGCTTTTGTTAGCACTTTCTTTCCTCTCACACATGCTGACTCCAACTGCTAGCCCATGATTTAAAAACGGAATGTGTGGGAATCCATGACTATAGTCCTAAAGC